GTGGCGGGCGCCTGTAGTCCCAGCTACTCGGGAGACTGAGGCAGGAGAATGGCGTGAACCCGGGAGGCAGAGCTTGCAGTGAGCTGAGATCCAGCCACTGTACTCCAGCCTGGGCAACAGAGCAAGACTCCGTCTCAAAAAAAAAAAAGACGATCACTGGGAGGGACGGGAGAAGGTGTTCCCTGGGTCCTCACAGTGGCCCTCTTACACGTCTGCATGCTGACCTGCTCTGGTTGTCAGGCTGTGGGGACATCCCATCCCGGGTGTGGACAGGGCTGTGTTCCCGGGCCTGGGGTGCATACGTGGCCTATGGAGGACAGGACAAGCTTCCTGCCCCTAGGGAGCAGCCGGGGGCCCTGCAGAGCCCAGCTCCCCGCTGTGTGTGTGGCCCCTCTCTGGCCTCGGCTTCCCCTCTGTAAATGGGCATGGTGGTGCAGCATCAGGCCGCAGGTGCAGCACACTGTCTGTGTCCCCGCAGCGGAGCTGATGGAGCGGGCCACCGTGCCACCCCTCTGGCCCGCCCTGTACCCGCCAGGCCGCAGCCCTCTGCACCATGCACAGCAGCTGCAGCTCTTCTCGCAGCAGCACTTCCTGCGGCAGCAGGAGTTCCTGTACCTGCAGCAGCAGGCGGCCCAGGCCTTGGAACTGCAGAGGAGCGCCCAGCTGGTGGTGAGTCGGGGAGGATGAGGCGCAGCTCCCTCTGGGGGCCCCATGGGTGATGAGGCAGATGAGTCAGCCAGCAGAAACTCCAGACAGTTACAGGGAGGGAGAAAACAGCAGAGGGGCAGGTGGTCAGGGAGGGCTTCCTGGTGGAGGCAGCACTGGAACAGAGACCTGGAACCGTCTATGGAAAAGCTCTCCAGGCAGAGGAAGCTGTGAACAGTGGTAGATGGAGCCTGGAAGGGCAGGGTGCAGGAACAAGGGGGAAACCAAGGCAGAGAGGTGGCCTTGGGGACTGGGGAAGGGTGATTGGACGCTGAAGGAGTCCAGTGGGCTCCCGTTGTTGCCTGAGCCCAGCCGGGCCTCTTCTCTCTAGGTGGCCTCTTGGAGAGGCACAAGGAGGCCTGGCCAGCTGTCTCTTGATGGCATGGTCCCATAAGATAGGGTACCGGAGGAGTCTGCTCTGGAGGAGTCGGCCCAGGTGGTACATACAGCAAGGAGCTCTCAGAGCCTGAGCCCCAGTTCTGAATCTTAGCTCTGCCAGGCCTGGCTGTGTGCTCATGGGGAAGTACCTTTACTTCTCTGGGCTTCAAGTTTCCTCTCCTAGAAACAGATGCTAGCGTTGTGTAGTCCTTGGGTTGCTAAATGTAACTGTTTAGTAATCGGGAGAGTGGCCTGTCTTAGAGCGCTTCATCCTGGTGTTTTTTGTTTGTTTGTGTAGTTTTTTTGAAGTGGAGTCTTGCTCTGTCGCCCAGGCTGGAGTGCAGTGGTGCGATCTCGGGTCACTGCAACCTCCATCTCCTGGGTTCAAACGATTCTCCTGCCTCAGCTTCCCGAGTAGCTGGAATTACAGGCGCATGCCATCTTGCATGGCTAATTTTTTTTTTTTTTTTT